TGTCATAATGTGCAATATGTCATGCATGCAAGGATTACAGGCCTCACTCTCTCCTGTGATTTGTCCTAAAGCGACTGCTAAATGCTTTGAGGTTGGCCTGCGGGGTGCAGGAATTACACTCATTACCAAGCCATACTTGCATGCTATTTCAGAGCGAATATTCAAAGTAGCATGGTAAACAATACAGCGAGCATGTCACTGGTTGTCAATGTTCAAAAATGAACCAATGTGATATGAATATAAAACCAACTACAGCTCAGCAAAGCAGGCCAGGCGGAATAGCGCTATTTACTTATGTTTTGTTCAACTAAATAAAAATCGATATTATCGATACTGTAAAAGATCCCTCATGAAAATGTAAATAGTTACATCAATCTTTCACCTGAAGATTTCAGTGGCTGAACAACACTTCTGTGCATATAACCCATTCATAACAACATAATCTACATCAGCTTTGCGTGAATAAATTTGTTTAAAAATGTAACATTACCTGTCTAAAAGAAATACTTCAGCCATGGTGTCATCCTTCCTCCAGCGTGCAAAATTAACTCCAGTATTGATTCAGGATTTTCAGAAGTTTTGATTCAGCATTTGTTTTTACCGCTGTGACTGTCTTGTGTACACATGAATGCTTTGTGTGCATGCACGTGCAAATGGCAGATCTGCATGAACAGATGCGCAGATGTACAAATCTACAAATTAATTAATTCATTCATTCATTCATTTGCTGACAGAAAGTTTGGGCTAGTTATCAGAACTATGGGAATTGACGGCCCGACAATTATTACTTAGATGAACATTTTTTAGTTGTATGCCTTACCCAGCATATAAAAATACATATAAATACATTTAGATCATTTAGTTTAATCATTACTATTGGAATGTGAAGAGACTTTCAACCAGCACAACTAAAAAATGCACCTTAAACATATTCAAGCACATGATTTGTCTGCCAACATGATCCAAATAGTTTTGGTTATTATGATTGTTAAGAAAGGAAAAAATAAATTAGCTTTGGTCTTGTGATGATGCTGTTCACATCACATTGCCACCTTTGGAAAAGTAAGAAAAATCTGGGGAACGAATATAATGTTGCACCACATGCTGGCTGCAGAATGTGCATCCCTGAAACTATTCCCCTCCTGCCATGTTGCACACCAGAGATGAGTTAAACTGCATTGCAGGATGAATGGGAAGCCATATTGAGATCTCATGAACCATTTCATGAGCAATTCTCATGTGATTCTGCAACTTCGGAGGGCGGACACATTTCTTTCTTCATGCAGAAAACTATTGGGCTACAGAGATATATATCTGTCAGGGTGCAAAATAAAGAAATATTACATTATTGATAGGACAGCTTTTAGGTGAATGATAAATAATATAGGTGAAGGAGTCTCTGTGACAGTGAGGTAATAGCACTCAAATATGTTTGACTGTCTGGGGAACGGCGGAACGCCAGCCAGACTGTGACCAACTGACACACTGACTCACACACACACACACACACACACACACAGGCAGGGAGCAATAGAGAGACTGTGCCAATGCCTGGATTAGGCAGCCATGTAAACAAGCAAATAGATATGGAGACAAGCAGACAGACAGACACAGGCAGAGAGACAGATGGACGGACAGACACGGAGACAAAATGCTATTAATTGCATCCGATTAGGATGGCGGGCACAGCTTCCTGTCTACGGCCGGCTCTGTATTTGTTCGTCGGACGTATCGAAAATATTTTTCGCAGTTGTTTTGTTGATCTGAAGGAGTTTTTTCGCCTTTTAAAAAGAATGAATCATGACAGCGTTTGGACCGCTGCTCCGTAGCTTTTTCCAGAACAGGACAGTGAGCAGTGCTCCCTCTCTCACTCGCTCGTTTTGCTTCTAACTTTCTGTCTCTGCCATTTTGATGAGCTTGAAAAAAGTGTATCTCTTTTTCTCTCTCACTACGTGGCGTGGATTGGATGCCGACTGGTAGGAAGGAGGGAGGAGTAGGAGCGAGAGAGAGCACGCTGCTCGCGTAGACGGAGAGATGGCATATTTGCAGAAAGAGAAATGTGGTGTGAAAGCAGTCCTTTTCAGTCTTCACTCTTTAGACTTTTGTGACGTCCGTAAAGCTGCTTTTTTTTATTTTCTGCACTACGCTCTACCCCTCTTTCTGATGCTGCTTGCATATCTCCGTTATAAACTTTTTTTTTTCTAAATGGACGTCTTTATAGCTTTATTTCATTGCTCTGTCAGTTTGTTTCTGTTTCAGTCCGTTCCTTGCTTGTTTTTAATCGCCCCTCAGTTAGCTTTATTCATGGGAGTTAAAGACAAAGGGAAACGTCCACATTTTGGCACCACTAAGGGGAGTCAGAACTGCAGCCAAGGACCCTGCTGAGATCCAAAAAACCCCAGCACAGCGAAGCGCCAAAAAAAAAAAAAAAGAAAAAAAGAAAACACCACCCTTTCCTTTGCATGGTCACAAATTCCACTCTCCCTGTAGCCAGGGCAGTGCCGCAGCTCCTCCTCGACCACATCTCACCGCATTCGACCTTTCCGCCTTCTCCTCAGTCTTCCACGGAACCTTTTCTGACCCATTTTTGAGAGTTTTCGTTTTTTTCACTGTAAATACGGATAGGACCGGCCGCACAGGAGGGCGAAAAAGGGGACAGGGGCTTTTTCAATGTTGTCTGTCGATGACTTGGCGATTTGTTCTTGTTGAACTAGGGATGATGTTTTTGGCTTCTTTTTCGAGGTTGTAGGTGCTGTATGTGTTCTTCCTTCGTGTCAGGACGTGTTTGTGTATTAATGGTTTGATCGTGTGAATGAGCACTTTTGTACTTCCTTCTAACGGCTGTCTTTCTTTCCTGTTCCAGATTTTTTTGCGGGCAACGGAATTGGCCTAGTCAGTACCCTAAGCCTGACTCCATATTGCCACCAGGTGTAGGCTAACTCCGGTATGGACATCGCACTGGTCAGCAGCATATAGACAGACATCCTCCTCGGGTACGCTACTTTTTATTTGCCCTTTTTTTCCTCTGTCCGTTCTTTTAGTTCGTTTCAATCAGAACTTTCTGTATCCTGCATCTTGTTTACCATTGGGTAGTATTCTTTCTTGTTAGTTTAAGAGTCGCGAAAGCTGTCCGCGTTGCTGTAGGTTGATGCTTCGTATCAAGTTCAAATTTCACTTTGCTTCATTATTTTTTAAAGATATATATATTGCATTTTGTTTTTAAGCATCAAATACTTGTCCGCTTGATAAAGGTCTTATCAGAAATAAATGTAGGTCAATTGCGGTTCAACATAAATAGCAGTTTTTTTTTCTACAAAAACGATAAGAGCTGTCCAAATACTGTTTAGCGAGTCACAATTCATTTGATTTCAATGGAATCAGCAAACGTGTAACGAGTGAGTGGTCTTACGATGCCATGGAAACACATTTGTAATTTGAGACTGTGTTCTGGTGTGCTCAGGATTCCACCAACAACTTATTTGTTTTCAGTCTGGCACATCTCATAATGCAATGCACTGTGGGTCCAAAGAAATGGGTCAGAATGTAATGCAGATATCTTTAGCATTTTCTCTATTGTTCTGGAATAACCTTTGATTTCCCTTAGGGAGTGGCACTGTACCATGAATCATGGCATTTCTAATTGCAGCTTGTTGCACCTACAACTTGTAGTGCAGAATGGGAATACCCTTATCGCTGTAATTGTGATTTCTTATTTTTAATAGTGTGTAAATAATGTGTTAAAAAATATTTTAGATGTGCGCAGTATATTATCGAAAAATTAAACTAAATAAATTGTGAAATTCCTATACATGCACTCAAGTACACAATATACGTGTCGATGTAAATAATAATAATCTTTAATAGCTGCTTTCTTAAATGTCAGTGACTGCAGCAGATTTGATCTAACAGTAGCAGTGTTGTCTGATCTGGACACAGCAAACACCACCTGTGTCTTTCAGACTGACCTTCACTTTGAAAGAGACTGTGGTTAGAGACTGTGGTCATTTAGAAAGCATCCGAAAATCATGATCAAAAAAATTGTTTTCTTAATTTCTTAATCACTACTTTATTTAGTTAGATCTATTAAAAAACATACACAAATATATATATTTTTTATTTTACCACCTACGATAGTTGTGCATCAATCTATTTGATTAATTCGTTAAAGTTGTCGTAATTTACAGGAATTTGTTGTTGTTTAATTCTAGTCAATGAGACTTTCTGTATGAGACTTGAAGTAAATTAATTTTTCCAGAAAATTGTTTTTAGTTGGCAATTAAATTGTATATTATGCTTATGTTATTGTTTTATGCTTGCGAAAAGTTATCCACATTTTATTTGTTAATTTATTTTTTACATTATATTGCTCAGTGATTCCGATTTTCAAGTCGGCGCTCATTTTACAGGTTTTCTACTTTCTCTGTTCATGAATTCCTAATCTTTTTCTTATCCTTTTTTATGAATTTCAGGTGATGTACATAATGATCTTCTTCCAATGTATTACCTGTTGAATTGCTCTTATATCTCTTCAAAAAATGCTTTTAAACATGAGCATCTATGGCTTTTTTATTTGCCTTTCGTTTTAAATTGGTGCATGTGGAAAAAAACAACCCTAAGAATTAGCATTTTGTTATGCATCGGATATTATTTTTGAAGGTGGAGGTGGGTGTTGCTGTGACGCAGTGCAGTGATGCCAGCTGCCACAAACCCGTAGATCCGAACTTGTGGTGTCTCTGTGCACAAGCTCGTGTCTATAGGTATGTGTCTGCGAGGTGAACGCAACAGTCTTCCCTGCAGCCTCTGCTGTTGACTAGAAACTTCTGTGCTGTGTTGACACTTTAACAGTTATCAAATCTAAGGATTTCTTTCAGTCAGTAGCAAAAATATTTGCTTCATTCACTAGCATAACCGGATTGCATATTTTTTTGAACAGTAAAAGAGGTCTGCCGATGTAAACGTAAGCAGCCGCGAGGTTTTTGTCTTTTCCCTAAAGTATTAGAGCGATGTCTCGGGATGAGGTAGTAGGTTGTATAGTTTAGAGTTACAACACGGGAGATAACTGTACAGCCTCCTAGCTTTCCTCGAGCAGACGCCCTCCTCTGTAAAAGCTGCAGTGCTAATGCTAAAGTAACTAGCAGAGATACAAACAAGCTCCCCTGACGTGCTGAGAGCAATGCAACAGTGATTATCAGCGTTAAATATGGAGTCTGAAGGTGTCTGTTGAACATTTAACAACGTCAGATGTAGCATTTTTAGTTTTACACGTTTGTAGGCAAGTGTTTACAGTTAAGGCCCGTTCACACTAATGAGGATGACAACTGTATAATTAACCATTTTATCTACAGCACATCACAGCTTGAACGATAACAAACAAAAAAACAGTGCAGTCACTTTCAGAATTATATATTTTTTCAGATGATGAATGATAAAATCACTGACCTAATCATAATCAAGCTGACTTTAAAAAGCTTGATCATTAAAAGTGGTGTATCTTAGTGCATGCTTACAGTATAATAAGCAACTGTTGCTGTGGATGCTTAAACACTGTATTTAATTTATCCTCATAGGTGTGAACCGGCCGTTTGCCAGGATTACCATGTTTGCTAAACATCTTGTGTTTATTAGTTTCAACAGAACCTGTACGCGAATAAATTACCTGTTTTAATCACTCGGTTTAAAACGTTATCCTATAACAGTGATTTTTATGTGGTAGCCCAGCATCAAAGTAGTTTCACAACACCGCAAGCATATAGCTTGTAATAAAAAACAGGATACTAGAAATGTGACATTTCTATCAAAAGACCACACAGTTATTACAACAATATGTTTAACATGCTATCCTACAGAGCTCTGCACCACAAACACCACGTCCTAAAATACACATGGAAACTGTGAAAGCCTTCTTTTGATATTTCCTTCTGGATTTTATTTAACCGTGGAGCGCACTGTATTTCTCGTCAGCTTTGAAAACACATGTATAACTGGCAACATTTTTGGCTTTTTTTTCTTTGCATAAGCGCTAATAAAAATGTGATTTTAATGATATGAGGTACAAGTTATGTTAAAAATGCAATGCTAATAGACTGTTTGTACTTTTAGGTTAGTTTAACATTAGTACATGTTTACTTGCAACCTGCTTGTATATTTTACCTGTAATTTGTTTCTTAATTTGTTCGGCACACACACCAAGGCTGTTCAAGGAGTTACTATGAAGAAACTAACTGTTGCAGTTGTGGTTTAAGTGCAACTATTTGTTTTTGTTTGTTCGTATATGTGGATCCCAAAACACATAAATGTTTTTGTGATGACCTGAAAAGCTGGTGAATTTTGTAGGAAGCAGCATCTGCAGTGTGCCACGGGTTGAGCTGCAGTCACTGCGTCAGACCAAATATCTGAGAGCATGGCAGCCTGTATGCAGATATTTGTGAATGACACTTCAATCGTGATCACGTTGTGTTGTTGCAGTTCGGTGTCTTTGTGTTGTGCTTTCACTTTGTGTGTGCTTTGGTGAGGCTTGTCGCAGGTGTGTGCGCTCACGCTAGGTGTGGTTGTTGTGTTTGACAATGGTGTTTTGATTATGTTCAGTGTCCATTTCTTCTTGATTCGGGGGTACTCGTGCAGCCACCTGTTTGCATGAAAATCGGCTTTATTGAAGCAGTCTTGGAAATTCAAGCTCAATCTGATGATCATAATTTATTTTCAGATTTTAAAAAATATGTTCACTACCAGTCAAAAGTTAAAAGTTTTCTTTCATTATTCTGTTCATCAAGGCTATATTTATTAAATGTAAAAAAAATTGTTAAATTGTTTAATATTTATTAAAATTTTAAATAACTGCTTACTGTATGTAGTTTCAAATGAAGTTATTACTTTAGTCATTATTGCTTTTATCACTATTATCATTAATAATAATATTTCATATTAGAGTGAATTCTGAAGGATCGTGTGACTGAAGACTGGAGTAATGAAGCTGAAAATTCATCTTTAAAATCACTGGAATAAATGATTATAAACAGTTTTTTTATTGCAAAAACATTTGCACTGTAATTTTGATTAAATAAATGCAGCATTGGTGAGCAGGAGAAACTTATTTTAAAACATTTAAAAATCCTACTGACCCCAAACTTTTGACTGATAGTGTATTTTTATATATATATTTTTTTTAATTGATAGTAAGTAGTATACTAGGCAACTAGTTAAAATTAAAATGATTTCTGAAGGATCATGTCACACTGAAAGCAGAGGCAATGATGCTAAATATTCAACTTTGTTGTCACAAAATGAAATAATATTTTACAAACACTTTAAAATAAGAAATATTTTACAATATTGTGTTTGATCAAATAAATGCAGCCGTGGTGCACAAGAGACACAAAATACATTCAAAAATATTGAAAACATTTGCAGTAATGCAGTATATTACTTTTGATTGTAATGGAAATGATGTTCCACATATACATTGAAAAAATGGGGAAAGAAATTGCCACAAGAACTTTACAATTCATTTCTGTTGATTTTAAACAAACAAATTAAATGTATTAATGTTTAACTTAATTTGTTTATTTAAATTCAGCCCATTTAAATTGTTTACAACCACTTAAAAAAAAAGTAATCCAAGGAATCATCTTTGAATCATTTTTTAGTGTACATACACACATGGAAAATAAACACTTTTAATTTCTTTGGATCAACAAATATACGGTTATTTTTTTTCTTTCAAGTTTGAAATTAAAAGGTTGTAATTAAAATTTTATTTGCAAAGAGATGTCATCTTTTAAGACATATTTCTATTCATTTTTTAGACAAGACAGTACAGTACCAAAGTGTAAGTCAGTATTTGGTGGAATAACTAATATTCAATCTTAATAAATGAAAGAAATAAAATAAATATTGTGAGCACTGAAATATAAACATGTGAGCACTGCACATGCTTAGAATTCGCATGCATAATTCCGGCCTTGCCTATATTACATACAATATTATTTTAGTCAGGTCTGTTTGAACTCATTTCCTGCAAAAAAAAAAAGTACAATTTTAACAGTAAGATTAATATTAGTAACATCCAACAGTCGATTTCAGCACCACCGTGATTTGCAATTGTCAGTGCACAACTACTGCATTATTCAGTGATTTGAGAGAGCAATCATTCTTGCTGACCAGTGCGAGTGCTCAAATGTACTTGTGACTCTAATTTGACAACTTAATTTTTATGTTGATCGGTCCTGGATTTTGTAGGTCATTGGATAAATGAATGGATCAGCAAGTGAAAATTAAGTATGATTTGTTGGTAGTGTTTTCACACAGAGGGCTCAAAACCACCCTCGCACGACTTTATCTAATAAATCAAAATTACAGTTAGAGTATATCTGGAATGGGCTAAATGGAATTTTGGTTTGTGATTTTGTTGGAGGAAGTTATAGATTGGAGTGTGTATCTGAAAGATGTTTACAGCTGATGCTTTTCTTTACCAACAAACACCACAGTACTTTGTGTGTTTATTTTATGCTAAGATATGCAGTGATACATGCATACAGTTACAGTGGCCAGCATATAAGTGCACTTCACACAAATCTCTCTTTTATTAGATTAGTCAGTACCGAAGCCAAATATGGAGCTTATCTAACAAAATAACTTATGATAATAGTCTAAAAACTAGTACAGCCAAATATGTTTTATAAAAATATTAAGTACAAATTTAAACAAGAGGAAAAATCAAGAGAAGCTAATGTATATATAGTATATATATAATATAAAATGTGGTGTACTTAATTATGCTAAGCACTGTATATACAGTCAAGTCCAAAATTATTAATACCCCAGGCAAATTCTGACTTAAAGTTACCTACAATATATTTGACCGGATATGGCAGGAGAACATTGCCAGGGGTATGAATAACTTCAGGTTTAACAGTCTATATTTTCAGTCCTGCTGAAATTAGCATCATAATGTGATGGCAACAACATTCACAATGATTAATAAATGGCGTCTCGATCATAGATGATGTTTGGTTCATGCTGGCAGCTCTGACAAGGCACATGGTTTAGTGCCTAGCCTTAATATATGTTCGAAGCCTGTTTATTATACATAATATACCGTTTCCTGTGTTGCTAACAATGTGAGTCAGCAAACTTCTAAAGCAGCTTAAGAAACACACTGTTGATAAATAATGTTATGAGCGCTCTGCCACCCAGAATGCCTCGGGGAGAGAAAATGATGCACTGAAGCCAAATGTGTACAGAGTTCAGCCTCGTTTCACAAAAAATAAAAAAAAAATTGTGCCATCAATGTGGAAAAAAAAACTGTTCCAGAAATGCAAGTCTGCAGCTAAAAAGACCAAGAGAACCAAACCTCAAGCCACATTTAGCACAGTTTTGGATGTGCTGTAACAGATTTGGATATGGATAGACTGTTCTGTTGGATGTGGACCACATTTTCACCACGGAAATAACCATATTTGTGAATGAGTTCTCAAAGTCAGTGATGAGATTTTTTTTTTTGTTGGGAATAAATGGATTTATTTTTGTGAATTTACATGAATATGACTGACAATTGTTGGAAAATACACATCTGAACCGCCAAAACATTATTTCTGATAGACATTTAAGCTTAATAATAGGCATTCATATTCTCTGTTTCTCTCTTTATATCTGTCTCACTGTCAGTCATGCCCTTAAGGCTGCTTATACACTTAGCAAACAATAGTGCTTTTGTGTTAAAGCAGGAGATGGGACCCAGAGAACGTGTTTTGCTGATGACATCATTCTCTGAGCTAAAAAAAAAAAAATCGAGGTTTATTTTATCTGAATCAAAAAAAAAAAAAAAATCCCAAACAGTGCAGTAGTTTACTGTGTTGGCTGAGGTTGGCATAAATCCACTTTGCACTTGTTAACGTGAATAGCATTGGTATTGCTATTTCTGTATTCCAATTAGGGAATGTTGTTTGTTTTGTTTGATTAAAAATATTGTGAGAGGTTGTTATAATTGAAAATAGCACAAATTAAGGCTTTTTAAAATGTGGATTGTTGTGATGGATATGCAGAATCTTTCAGCATTTATGAATGACTTATTCAATCATTCAGAAACATTTTGATGCTAATTTGTTATGCAGAAATTCTGTATTTTTACGGGTGAATAACTAATGAATACAGACAAAATATACAATTGAAGAATGAATGATAAATTGATCTGGAAGTCAGTGCTGTATGTACTCATTTCTTTGTAAAAATAGCATATACAGTGCTCTGCATATATAGGTACACCCCTCACAAATCTCTTAATTAAATTAATATGTTCTATTGGATGATTTATATATATATTATATATAATATATTACTGTAAATTTGTGCATATATGTTAGATTAGTTAAAATTAATCTGGAGCTTATCTAACAAAATAACTGAAGAAAATGGTCCAAAAATTAGTAGACCAAATTTATATGTTAAAGAAAAATATTAAATAAAAATGTGAAATAAGGAAAAATCAAGAAAAGAAAAAAAGAAAAAGATTATACAATTTTGTTGGAATTTTGTAGTTTTTGATATTTTTTGCAAAATTTCACATGCATTTAAATGTATTATCTTTCTATTTTTAAAGATGTTTGGTGACTAAAATATTATTTTAATAAATAAATCTCTTTAATAAATCTGTTTTGTTCAAATTCACTAAAACATAGGACCTGTATTCACTGAGAAATGGAGAAAAATATTCATTTTCAAAATGGGGTGTACTCATTTACGCCGAGCACTGTTTTATTATAATTAATGTGAAAATAAAATGATTAAATATATAAATGTGTGTGTAGTTTAAAATGTGACGTCTTTATATATGATCTATTAGATCGAAAATAGAAAAAATGTTTAGATAGAAAAATATTTTAGTTGAATTTGTCAGACCAGTGACGTAGTAAATATTTTGAAATAAGATATTGTGATTCTGTTTTTTTATTATTATTTTTATGTGGGACCCTCACCTGTATGATAAAGTGCAGTTGAGGGCCCTCTGTTGGCTAGTTCTGGTTTTTGAGATCTTTTATTACTGTATTTACACAGATATTAACCACGAGAATGCAGACAGAGCAAGAGTGTGTGTGTTTAACACAGCTCTGTAGCTTCCTTTAGTGAAGTACGGCAAGCAAAAGGGGCCAAAATGAATCTCGAGGTTGATCATTTTTTAACTGGTAGCATAAGATAAATGACTGCTTATGTCCAGGAGAGGGAAGTCTAACACCATTTCTACAGGATGCCATGATAAGTGTTTTGCGGGCATATTGTAATCAAAATTTGAAAAAGTTTACGTGAAAGGTTGTTGAACTGTGCAAGCACTGTGAAGATTGTTTCAGAGCAAATATAACATGTGAAAGTACAGTGCATGTGAAATGTTGTCCGTCGCTGATGAGGTCCCATCCAAGTGGGCCGTCTGAGGTCTCCTTCACCGCAGTCTCCCTGTGTCCCCCCTTTTCTCTCCTCTCCACTTTACATCTCCCCGATTCCTTTGCCTTCTGTCATTCTCGTTCCTCTATCCCTCGGTTTTCTTCCTCGTCTCCCTCTGTTGTGGCCTCGGTGCTAGCCAGGCGGGATCGAATGTAAGCCAAGCACATCATATTTTCATGTGTTCATGCCTCTTTTTATCCCCTGCCCTCCCTTTTCTCAATATTCTCAGAGTGTCTCTCCCTCTCTCTCTCTCCCTGTGCTTGCTCCCTCCCTCTCTCTATTCTTTCTCTAGTTCCCTCCCTCCTGCTCCAATCTTCATTTCAGCCAGAGAAAGAGAGGGAGTGAGAGAGGGAAAGAAAGAAAAAGAAAGAAAGAGTGGAATAATGGTGAGCAACGGGGGAAATTTCTGCGCTTGGAAAGTTTTTCTTCCTCCGAAAGCGAGGACAGATCTCGGGTAAGGACGTTTATGAGATGAAAATCTCTTCTCTTTCGCCGTCGGCCCATCTCTCTCTCTCTCTATTCCTCCTCTCTTCTTTTCTCTCAGGGGGTAGCGGGCCTCTTGCGCTAACTGGTGTCAGCTGTTGCAGGAAATGAAGGGATCACTTCTATCCCGGTCTTTCTCTCCTACTCTCTCACTCTTTCTCTGGACTTTTCAAGAGACTGGAATACCAGCAAAAAGAGCCGCTCGCTCATACAAGCACATGAATGGGACTGAGGAAGAGCAGCTTCGCCTGTTCACTCTTTTGACACTGTAGATCAGATATTCCTCCTGTTTTTTCTCTCAGGATGGAAAACGCTCTTGTCGCACATGTGACACGGGGTGAGAGACGGTGCGTGTATGCGAACGCCCCCCCACCCCCTATGCTGATCTCTCATCTTATAGCCCTCTGGGTAGAAGTCTGGTGTGTGTTGCCGGTGTCATGGCCCTGCCTCTCTCTCTCTCTTTCTCTCTCTCTCTCTTTCGTCTCCCATTCAATTTTCTGTCCTATAGGCTGATTAATCCGGATACCTTTTCTCCCCAGATTCTTTGTTTCCTTTGTTCACGTTTTTTCCTTTTTCAGTAGCGCTCTGCTGCCATTTGAATTTCCCACCTTTTTTCTCTCTCCCTCTCTTTCTGTCTCTCGCTCACATGTTCCTCCTCTCTCTCTTTCCTCTGCGGCTCCAGACAGCAGGCAGACATGAGCCTGTCAGCGTCCTCTCTTTCCTTTATATGTCCTCTCGTCTATTCCTTGCGTAATTGGTAATGTGTTACACTGCATCATGGGATGGTCAACGTAAAAACATGTTGTTTTTTTTGTCTCTTCCTCTATGTCCTCTCAGGCGTGAGGAGAACGCGGCACCCGGGGCACGGCCAGTCGTTCCCGCCGGCTCGGTGAGTTCACTCCCCTTCTCTCAGTGCGAGTGTGTGTGATTTATACAAGCGCTGATGTGACCTGATAGTGTCTGTATGTGAACTAGCAATGACAGTTCTGCTCTGTTATCTTGGATGAGAGCTTCAGCTCTACGTGACCGTAGTCTCTTTTCTCCCCTCTCGACTGAGCAGTTTTAAATCAGACGAGTGAATGTCCGCAGCGATTCATCTGGGTGAATGTAAAGACAGGTGCTCCATTGGTCTTATGTGTGCGTGTGGTCAGCGTGAGGAGTCTGTGTGTGGCGCCACTTCTCCACGCATGTCCTCGTCCGCTGTGCGCATGTGTGTTTGTGCATGAGACCCGATGTCTTTGTGTGCAGTCCACGCTGATGGGCGTGTGTGTGTGTAACTATGTTGTGTTGCTTCAAAGTGCCCAATGGCAGTGTATTTCGAACGGATGCCGTGTTAGAAACAACCGAGGGGAGAAGGAACTGGATGACAGAATGGCGAAGACTCTCGGTGCTTCACCGTGCCCCTCTCCTTCCCTGAGACCCTAACTTGTGACGTTCTGCTTCGATGTCCACGGGTTGGGTTCTCGGGAGCTGTGAGAGGCACTCAGTCGTCCACCCATCCAGGAGGAACCAGAGGACAGGACGACATCCAGGCTGATTGAGTGGGGAAGGAAGGACAGACAGGAAGAAGAGACGAAAAAGGGGATGAGTGAGATGAAGGTGGCTAACGGCAGGCCTGCGGTTTGAGGGTTTAAAGGATAGGCAGAGGGAGAAACGTGAGTGTCGTTGGGCCATCGAGGGTTTAGCCCAAACAAAGCGTATGTTTAGACTGTGAGTCAGGACACTGAAATGGCTGTGTGCGTGCATGTCTGTGCCACAGCATCTGTTACGCCCTCGTTCCGCACCCATATTTGTGTGCGTCTTTTTGTGTGTCAGGGCATTTTTGTAAATCCGGATTCTTCTCTCCATACAGAAAGTCCTCGTAGATGGATGTGTCCAGTGACTCGGGTGCATGTGTGTGTGTTTTATCCATCCATTTGAGAGCAGCACAAAGTACTGTTGAGAGCGTGACATCGATAGCTCGGTACACTTGTGTTTGACCTCATACAAACTCTCATCGACATACAAATAAACATGCACATGTACAGGCTTTTACCTGAGTGCGTTTGTGTGGGGGAAGGGATATAAATCGCGACTTGTTGACCGAGGCATGGGTATAGCAAACATATGCGTGATGCCTGCATGATGGTAAAACGGTGAGGTACCTCGAGTGTGACTGCAGTAGAAGCGCATTGTGTGCACGCAGCAGCATGTGTGTTTCTACAGACATCGTGAGTAAGACAGCCAGTCGGCTCTCTCTGGTGGTGCTCCAAATCTAGCTCATCTCAATAGCGCTTGATGTTCTCAGAGTCAAACAGAGGCTACGCGATTTGAACAGGAGCGAGAGTACATCCTGGTCTTAAACATGCCCACTGACTAGATTTTTATCGAGGCACATGTGGGGGATTACGATGCTTGAGTTCTCATATTTGTACACGTAACTCTTGGAGTGAAGAAAAGCAACATGAAGTTATACTTTCATTCTTTCTGCATTTTTCTTGCCCTGACAATATTTATCAGCCGATGTAGAGTGATGCAAAACGATGTGTTTGTTTTTAAACTTTGGTTTCCATATTAAGCTGCTAAAAGGTCATTTCAAGAGAGTTGCAATCAGCAAAATGAACAGCTCATTCCTTGACATCATCAAGTGGCTCTTTAAGCTTAATTTGAACTATAACTGGAATACTTGCTCATTCTGTTTGTCTATTAAAACTCTTCTCTGTTGCAGTTAAGACAATACTTTGGCTTTATTGACCTCTGGACACATGCAGGCTATATATGGAGTGTTGATACGAGTATACTGCAAATTCATGTTTTAAAAAGTTCATTCCATCTCATTCATTGTGTTTAAGCATGTTTATATGTACACGCTGTGTGGCTTGTTCTTAGATGATCAGTGTTTCAGTATCTTATTACAGTTTAGAGCATTGTTAGTGCATCAGGTCAGGAGAGGCAAAGAGAGAGAACATAGCAGATGTGTATTAGGTTGCTCAGATAATATGGGCCTTTAATAACTTAACTGATTTCATGGCGGAAATATTAAAACCAAGTTATAATTACTTTGTTTGAAAGGTAATCATTTAAACAGTTAGATGTCATGCTAGGGATTTATTAAAGGCAATCTAGCAATAAAAAGACTTGTTTGTTTTAGATGATTCCATATGTAGAATATTTCCAGGACTGGGTTGCAGCTGGAAGGCCATCCACTGTGTAAAACATATGCTGGATAAGTTGGTGGTTCATTCCGCTGTGGCGACCCCTGATGAATAAAGGGACTAAGCCAAAGGAAAATTAATAATTGCTATTTAGAATTGGCCAGTAATCTTCTTTCTCTGTATTTATGTTTCTTATTTACTGAGCTAATATTCCATATAAACAAACTCTGTTTATATATTGACGGAAATTTGATTCCACATTTTAAAGCCAAGCCATTTAGCTCATATTTAACAATTGCAAACTATATTTAGCTGTGGGTTGTATGTTGAATTTGAATTGAATTGTCAATCAGGAGTAAAACAGATGCAAGTAATCCTTTCTGCATTTATTACAACATTTTGAAACATCTTATATGAAATTCATATAAATATTGCAATGATAATAACAATAATTTTAAATGTGCACGATTAGTCGAGGCTTGTTTATTGGTTATTAAGCCAGTAAATTTTAAACGGCATGTTTTCTCACATCAGAGATTGTTTTACAGATAGCAACTGTTATTCCGTTTAAGCGACTGCCCGTATTGTTGGTTTTTGTAATGGCATGTTGTGTGTATTGTGGTGGTTAGCTTCGGTGAGGGCATGGGGACACCCATTCTGTCCTCTGCAGTGTGCCATGCTACTGGATGAAGACTATAGTTCTGGTGCCCTCATCTTCGTCTGGCACCACACCTCACCCACCAATCCAGCCCACTTCGCCAAAACTAGTGTGTTTGTGTGTGTATGTGTGAAACTGGTGCAAGGTCAGTGTGAAAATGCAGGGCGATTAAGATGAAGTCACTATGGGGGTTTGGCATGGATATTTCACCCGTTGTATTTCTCAGCATCTCTTGTCTATGGGAGGATGGAGTTGCGTAGTAGAGGAATTCTGCTGAAGTTACAGGTTACTCCACTGTTAATATCCACGCACACACATACGCACACACCCTGTTCTGTTCCTCTCTGTCAGAATCATGGTAGTTGGTCTGCAGTGCCAGCACACGCCCCAGGAACGCCCTGATTTTACCGCAGTACCAAAGTACCCCGAGCAATCTCACACTCACAAATACTGTATACTTAACGTGTTTGCATTACGAGTGTGAGGCTAACTAGTTCACTAGTCGTTAATCTCGGAATACATGTCTTTAGTTCTCATCAAACTTTAGGTTGATATTTGGATCTCCTACGGAAAAAAAAAAAGTACATTTCATCATGTAGTCATTTGAAACTTGAAAATACAGTACTGGTCAAAACTTTGTATGCAGTAAAAATACAAATTTTCGAGAGATTCTTCTTTTAAATGAACAGTTTTCTATCTAAATATATTTTAAAATGTTTTCTATTCTATTTAAAAAATCTGCCAATTAGAATGATTTCTGAAGGATCATGTGACCTAAGGGCTGGAGAAATGGCTACTGAAAATTCAGCTTTGAATGACAGAAATTGGTTTAATTTTGAAACGTGTTTAGAGGGATAGTTCACCCAAAAATGAAAATTCTGTCATCATTTACTCACCCTGTACTTGTCATATACCTGTTTGAGATATTTAAAAAAATGCGGTATGGGGTGGGTAGCAATATCTTGCTTGTTTTTTTACCAAGCTGTGTTTTAAAGTCTTATTCGCTATATGGAATCACAGTCTGGTTTGGAAATCTGTCATTTCAATTGAAAAATAAAAAGGTTCTTATTCTAAAAATAGCCATAAAAATCATCGGAGTAAAACAATAGAAGCCCATCCAGACTCTATATGAACAGGCTGTCATGAGAAGAGCAGTAACTATTAGTGCTGATTGCAAACATCCGATTTTCAGTGAATTTCAGCTGTTAACATCAGGAAAGAGACCGGTAATGCCAATGTGTTAGACCAATAGATTGAAGCTTTCGTTTGTTCCTACCTCCATAAAACTGTTGAACTCTACCAAGAACAATGCACCTGTAGTACATTAGCGCCTGACTGTGTTCTGTGCTTTATATATTTCATATTCAAATATTTATATGTGGTCTTATTGTGTAAACAATATGTGTTTTTAATTATTTGTTCTTAATTGTTTTGTTTCCTTTATTTATTTTATTGTCTGCTTAGAGCATTGTTTGTCTGCTTAGACAAATTTCCTCTCAACACAAATGAAGTTTATTCTTATGCTAAAACCGGTAATCATTGACTTCCATGGTAGTTGTATGTCCTACTATGGAGTCAGTGGTTACCAGTTTACAACATTCTTCAAAATATCTTTTTTTGTATGTTGAGCAGAAGAAAAAAACTCAACATAAAATACATTTTATTTGTGGGTGAACTATCACTTTTTACAAAGAAAACAGTTTTAGTTGAAAAAATAGTGTACAATATTGCAGTTTTTCTTGCATTTATGATCAAATAAATGCAGCAACATTGAAGATAAAATGCCCCAGAATTCGTAATATTTCCAGTCTTTTAACTAGTAGTGTAGCAGATTAGTGTGCATCATCAAAAGTTACTGTTGTGAATAGAAATGTCAAATCTTGCCCTGTTAAAAAGGATTTGCTGATTGTTGATATATTGTGCGTGTTTGTAAATAGTACCAAAATATCCCTGTAAGTGTGTCTCAAGGTTTTAGGCATGAATGGCATGCATAGATTTATTCAATTTTAGGTCTGCCAAGAAATTTCCATAAAATGAATATATAATTAGTACTTGAACGTGAAATTCTTTGAAAAATATTTGTTATTTTGAGGTACGATTTCTACTTTTAAAAACCATCAACTCTATGACTTTTGCCACTATACGCTTCTAACTTGTTGGTTTTTAGTAATTATTAAGATAGTAGTTAGGTTTGGGTATTGCGTAGGATTAAAAATGCAGAATAAAATCATAATAAGCAGTCAATGTCTTTATGATCAGCAGGTAAAAAGACAGTAGTAAATTGTGAAGATTGTAATTTAAACTAAAGTGTTACCAAACCTTATTCCCCCTCATTTTTTTTTTCTGTCTTGATGTTCTCATTTTGTGTCTGGCCATGTGTGCATGCCTGCATATTTTGCAGTAAGAAGACACCGTTGTCCCTTTTCACACAGACGTTGTCCCACAAGGCCATATGTTCAAAGCTGGCATAAAGCATCCTACATATTTCTCTATAGTCTGTCCATCTGAGTCCATCCACCCAAACAGAAAAACAAACGCGCACTTATTTCAGTGAACTACAATTGTCAGCTGTTAAATAAAGGATCCGCAAGAGGAATCTGGATGTGAATACCTATAGGAACATCAAGAAAACCTCAAGAGTTGCATATAGGAAGTGAAAGCTAATAGCAAATTTTCACAGACATGCAGTTC